GCAGGAAAAGGAGCTTATCTAAGACTACAGAGTATGTAGCACTTGGATTGGACCATCTGACTCCTAGGGCTGTGCTATCTTCCATTCATTATGTTCTTGTGGCAGACATTTATAATACAGGGGGTCATCACCTACGGTGGGGTTTCCTAGCCCCCTTGTCACTAGTTGTTCTCCCCCTTTTGCCTTTCAGTGTGCCTTGTGGCCACCTTCAATTAGCTTTTGTAATGGGGTCATTTTTTTCTTTTTTTGAAAGTGGAGAGAGAGGGAGAGAGACCCCTATTATGGCATGTCGCCCACCCCACTCCTTCTCCACAAGGAGAAAGTACTGAAAGAAGGTTATTGCTATCTATGAAGGGCATAGTGAGCTAAATGGGTTTTACCCAGTCTGAAAAATCTTAGAGATGTTGATAAGCCACTTGAGACAACAAGTCACCTGCTGTTCTGTTCTCATTTTTTATCAATCCTTGTCTTTGGCAAGAGGAACTTTCTGGAAAGATAGGAAATTTGTGGAGTAACAAGGAAGGAAAACTTTGTAAATTCCAGACTCTGAAACAAACCAGTGATAAGTTGTCTCATAGGCTGACAATTTCCCCATTACCTTTCCTTTCTAACGACTATCTCATTGTCAGAAATTTAGAGGAAAAATAATAGTAAGACTAAAATGCAGTTCCTTAAGTGTATTCACCACAGATTAGCTCCAATCAAAAATTCCAAAATACCCCAAATTCCAAAATACCAAAAATTCTCAGTGTAATTCCAACTCAAGTGTGGTCTGTGATCTAAGAAGTAAGTGAAGTGACCCTACTGAGGAAGCCATGTGATCACGGTGGCTTTGGCTTTCTTAGCGTATACAAATTTTTGTGTTCATTTTCATCACACCAAATGTTTAATGAAGGATTGTTTAAATGGATTGGGAAATCTATGAAAACTATTAAACAATTCCTGTTTTGGAGCACACACCTGCATATCTGATCATTTTCCAGAAGCAATCAGAAACTAGTCTTGAGAAAGTGTGGGCCTTGGAGTCAGGCTGCTGAGGTATGAATCCTCATGCTTTGTTTTACTCTACCATTGTTTTACTCTATGACAATGGGAAAATTATATAACATTTCTGTCCCTCAGTTTCCTCACTGCACAGGGGTAATAGGATGATGTGAGACTCAAGTGCACTAAAATATATTGTATCCTACCTGGCATCTAGTTACTTTATTAAAATGACAATAAAGATAATGTAGATGTACTTTAACATGTAATTGTGATTTTGTTTATTTAACTCAAGTATTTCAATTTAATGGAGCTTGCCAAACACAATGACATCTCCAGGATTTCAAGACCATGGCTTCGTTGCACCCTCATTTTTACGCTGCTTCCTTCGCACAGGCAAGCAAGTCCCAGCTGACTGACTCAGACTCTTCAGCAATGTACATTATGCTTACTTCACCCTCATGTGCTCTCAAGTCTATCACCCATCAAATCAGTGGAGCAAAGAAATGTGTTGGTGGGAAATAAATGAAGAGGAACAAAAAAAGTGTCCTGTGTTTCTTTACTGACAATATTTGTTATGTGAAAGAATGATCATTTTTCAGACATTTGTTCTCTGTTCTACTATAAACATGGAAGAAATATTGCTCAGTAGCTGTCTCAATCACTTACCGAGTAGGTATACTTGTGAGGTATACTTGTCTCAAGGTGCCTTCAAAATACAGTAACATTTTTGCATTAAAACTTTCATTATGAGTGTCAGACTGGGTTAGTCATGATTGAAAGCTATCGCCATCTATAGGCTATTGTCCATAATAAAATAAATTCCCTTACCTCATCATGTTCTTGGTACCATTTATCAAGTAGAACTCTTCAGGGCTTGAAATTTAACAGAGAAGTTTTAAGTGACAACCAACATTTAATCCTAGTAGATTGCAAATCTCCATGAGATGGCATGGAACTTTATCATAAGCTCAAGCTTGGGGCTCGGTCAGACTTTTGTCCTGGTTTAAAGTTAGTAGTTGTATGAACCTCTGGTATTAAACCTCTATGAGGAAATTATCTCAGAAATTTGAGCAATAAAACCTTCCACCTAGATTGTTGTGAGGACTCAACCTAATTGACATTATAATGATCTATATTGTAGATGCTCATTCATAAGAATGCCTTTGTTTTATTCTTTTTCTGTCTCTTTCTTCCCAATCTCTTAGTGTCACTTGGGAATTCAGCTTTTACAGGTCTAAATTATTTTATAGATAACAAGTCAGTCACTGGAGGAGGCATAAGCTGTTTGAGGACTTTGAAGCTTTCTGTTAGATGGAGGCCAGGGGCCAGAGTTAGTATTTATACTTTGCAGCACATTAGTCAGCTATTCCTGCAAATCAGGTTAGCTGAGGGCATGGGAGATAGAAATGAGTGTTTCCAAATGAACTACTGCATATGGAAGTGCTTTGTAAAATGTCAAGGGCTTTAGGATTGGATGGTATTACTCTCATTGTTGTCAGCACTTACCCCTTCCTTCTCATTTTACAGGTTAGGAAACTGAGATCCAGAAAGATGAAAAGGCGGTTTTCCCAAGTACATCATCATCCTCATCCTCATCCTCATCCTCATCTTCATCATCATCACAGCAACAATCACAGTGCTTGCCTAGTGCCAACTACTGATCTAGGCACTTTATATGTATTAGTGGTAACTCACGTAATCTTCATAACAACCTTATGAAGTGGTTACTATTATCTCTATCTTACAGATGAAGGAACAGAAGTACAGAGTGGTCGCATAGCTGTTAAGAAGGTGGGATTTGAACTTTATCAGTCTGACTCCAGACTAATCATTTTGACAACTATGCTATATATATATATACATTTAAAAAATAAAACTGGGCTTAGATGATGAGTACAATTCTCTTTTATGTTTAATCCTTTCTTTTTTTTTTCACTTCATGACACATTTTGATTTATTTGTTAGCTTCTGAGAACGTTTTAAAGATCGAAACAATGCACATAAAATGTATTGGTTACATAAAAGGAGGAAATAGCTGCTAAAGTCAACCAAACTAGTTTAAAGATACCTTTGAGATACTCCCCTATGAGAGTGATGATGGCAGAGATGAAGAGTGGGTAGGTGGTTTGTTCCAAAAGAAATACAAGACATACCTTTTACAGCCTAGCTGAAGAGAGAAATGAGAGCAGAGTAAAGTCCAGTAGAAGTTGGGCAAGAGAGATGAGTTTGCACTGAGGAGGTAAGAGTTGGTAAGATATGGACTGAAGGAGGTTTCCAGGGGTGGAAGAGAGACTAAAGAGTTGGCAGGCCCTATTGTTAGGATGACCAAGGACTCAGAAAAAATGTTGGATGAAAAATGGAATATACAAAACAAAAGTAAAAATCCCAAGTTTCTTAGCTTGAAAAAGAAAAGAATCAGAGAGATACAAAGGCTTACTTTTAATATTTTAGGGCTGTCATGTGCAAAGGGATTAGGTTTATCTGTGCTGTTCTAGGGAACAGAAGTAGGCAAATAGATGCAAAGATTAAAAACCAAAGTGGAGCAGAACCTTCCAATATCAACTACTACAATGACAGCATAATAGCAATAATAACAAAAAGAACTACTTTAAAAATCATATAGTTCTTGGTAACTATATATAGATGTGTATACAGAGATGACTACTGATAATGTTTTCAAGGGAAACAAAGCAAATCGAAGACCAATAAATAGTGTTTTATGTTCCCATTTTCTAAAAATTGCATATGTATCATATGCATACAAAAATACACTAAATTCATAAACACTTGCCTTGTATAATAATTTTTCCAGTCTTTTAATGACTATATATAATTTAGAACAAACTACAATAAATTTTTTTTTTAAATTTGGAAAGGTTAGGAAGCTTGATTACATTTTATGAGGTCACAACTAAAAACTAAAATTTGAATCCATTTTTGTCTGACTTAAAGTCTAGATTTCTTTTTTCCCCAGAAAAACCACAATCCTAAAATTTAGGGAATTGAGACGGGAATGAGTAGACAAAACATGGAGGTAGTAGGCATAGAATACTAAGTTGTAGGAGAATAGGAGCTTCTAAAATAGTAAATAGCTGATTTGGGGAGTATGACTGCACAGTGACAAAGAGGACAGTTAAGTCAGTTGGAACTGAACTGTGACAAAGCAATGCTGTTGGAGTCAGAGCGGCCAGGGTGTGGTCATCCTGGCAAGTAGCAGATGTAAAATTAAGATAAGAATTGTTGCCTTTCTTTCTCTTTAATTTTAAAGCTCTTTATAACAAATAAAAATGTCCCCAAACTAATATTATGCTTATTTCTATCTTTCAAGTGATTTTTATTTTTTAGAAATTTCTTATTCTTTAACAATATTTATTCTTTTGAAAAGAAATTTCTTCTTCTATTTTTCTATGTAAGCTAGAGGTCATATTTGTTATGTCAGAATAGAAGTGGTCCTGTCTGCTTGGGTAGAGAGTGTAGTGTAGCCATGTTAGGGCCAGTGTGGGCTTAGCTGAGTTAAAACCTGACACCATTATTTACACAAGTGTGGCCTGCCTCCAAGATAGAGTGAGGCGTTTTACGACCACAGGCTTTTTGAGTTGTAGCTATAAAATAATCAATCTTTTAAAGCAAACATACCACAAAATTTACATCCAAATATAAATTGTCTTTCAGAATTGTGACCTTGGGAAAATTTTCACACATATTGGCAAAAATCATATTTAAACTCTTCATTGGAAACATCCTTCAGACTCGGTTTATCATACACGCACACACACACATACATTATTTTAAGGTACACTTTCTTACTGAGGTAAAAATGGTATATAACATTATGTTTCTTATGTACAAAATTATAATTTGGCATCTGTATACACTACTAAGTGATCACCACCAAAAGTCTAGTTACCATCTGTCATGAAGTTATACTTTATTTTTAACCAAAACTATTTTATCTTGCTTGATAGTCAATTTTACTTCACAGAAGACTGGCTGTGAATGCCTCTGACTAGGAGAAAAATAAAACTCATCATTAAAAGACAGAGTGTTACCACTGAAGAGGTTAAAAAAATGGGCTCTAATCATACCCAAAGTATAACTACAAAGATATTTAAAATATTGGCAGTATCCTTAGCATAAGAGAATAACCTCCCAAGATGTTATTTTGAGGGATATACTTAAATGTCTAATGGCTAAAACATTTATAAAATGGAAAATAACCAAATCTACTTTGTAGCCCAACTTGTTTAGTATATTTTTCATGTTACTACTTCATTTCTAATTTATGGCCATACCGTATCGTCACTTCTCATGATCAATAGCTCAAACGCAGCCACACTCAGAGTAAGAAAGAGCTCTGGTAAATACTGTGAAGGTATGCAAAAGCAGTTACATTTATATACTATTGAAGGAAGTTTATAATTAGAAAAACTTTGGGAGGATACATTGAGAATATCAAAAATCAAAATTCACTTACTGTTTTATTCAGCAATCACAATTTGAGCTTTTTGTTCTGTAGATATGTTCACAAATATACACAAACATATATGCAAATTATGTTTATTGAAGTATTATTTGTAATAAGAAAGTACTAACAGGAAAATTTGTTAATAAATTATTTTCTATCTGAAGGATAAATTAAAATACAACAATAGAAAGAATAAAATGGCTTATACATGCAGATCTGCAAAATATATTGTTAAATAAAAAAGCCAAATAACAATTGTTTATATTTCTCAATTTAGAAAAAATTATGTACATGTATGTGCATATTTATGGTACATATCTGGAAGGGGACATAAGGAAATGTTACATTTAGAGAATAAAATAAGGAATCTAGTAGAGGTGAGAAAAATAGCTTTTAATTGTATACTCTCTTGCATGTTTAAATGTTTTATTGTGAGCATGTATTCTTTTCAAAACAGTAAAACAATTTTAGAAGATAAAATATACAATGGAGGAATGTATTGACTAAGGTGTGGTTGAGGACATAAGTTGATCTTTTTTCAAAAATGGTGAACTAAAATTTGATTCTTGCTCTTTGGGTATATGTGGATGGGGATCAAAGGAGTGAATACTGGGATTAGTGAAAACAGTGATCAAGTCAGAATGTGTCATAGCTTTTTATTTGAAGGTGAAGTATTAAGCCTAGAAGAAAGACATTCTGCATCGAATCTGTCTTTTACATCATCTGGCCTCTTTTACTTAGAAAACAGGAAACCTTTATATTTGGACACTTGACCAATTATGAGCCTTTGGGGGCTAAATGTTTTCTTCAAAAGTAAAGTAAATATGCCTGGTACATTGTCACATAGTAATTCTTAAGAATGACTCAGTTTCATTAAATTGCCTCCTTTTCTCACAGCTGGTAGAATAGTGAGACACTGAGTTTATGAGAGCTCTAATGAGGGAAGAAGGAAAATATTTTAGAGCAAAGAATGATTTGAATGGGCACTTTTGTGTTTTTGGAGGGGAACTTTGAGGGAATTTAGTGTTCTGCATAGGTCCACTGAAGATCATGGGGTAAGAAAAAGGGAGGGTAAGGAAGAGAGTGAGGAAGGGAGGTGGAAGGACCCCAAAGACCACCTTTGACCCCATCGTGGTTCTAACATCAGTGAGTTCTGTGGGGAAGGACTATGGATACATCCTATGAGATATTGAATGATGAAAACTCTCTAGGGCACTTCAAACTCAATTGGGGTGGCTTTCAACAGCAGAAGCCTTTGTCTATTTCTCTAGTACTGAAACAGAGGCAACCGTCTCAATTTAAGGGAAACTGAATGGTGAAATAATACCATGGGTTTTAGTGTTAGGGAGAACTGGATTCAGAACAGGGTTAAGACATTACAACTGATTAGCTTTGGGTGAATTATTTAATCCTTCCATGCCTCAGTTTCCTCATCTGGAAAATGCTGATCTTACTACCTCATCAGATATTTGTAAGGATTAGATATAATATTTAAAAATTTTCTGGTTCTTATGAATTTTATTGGCTCATTTTGCAATAGAGGAACAATTTTTTGTTTATGGAGTTAGTACTTGTTTCATAATGGAATTATTCACTTTTTAATTTACTATTATTATTACTCTTTATGGAGTACTTAATATGTTTTAAAACTCACTCTATGTGTTTTATATACAGTATTTCTAACTGTGACAACCGTTTGAGATGGTTAGGTCTAGCCCATTTTATAGATGAGAAAACTGAAGTTCAGAGAAGTTAAGTAAAGAGTAAACAGGAAGGTCCAGATTTGACTTTCTTTTCCAAGTAACTGGAAATGTAAGGAATGGACCAGGTTCCAGAATGACAGGGAGGGGCAATTAGTTTGAAACCAGAGTGTGAAACCAGGGAAGCCCCACAGATTCCAGGGGTGAACTGTGTTTGAGGGCTGGAAGACTGAATGGTCTGCTCATTGTGAGACAGGAACTGAGGAGAGGCAGGTACATGGCTACTTGACTGAGTCAAAAGATACCATGGAAGGGTGGAAGAGGATCCTGAGAGATTTCTAGAAGTTCTTAGAGTTATAGCAGCTTCATCTATGGGGAGACAAACTGGGACCTCTTCAGCATTGAAGTATGGCTGGTTCTTTCACTGTTTTGTTTTTTTTTTTCAGTATTTTTTTTTTTATTGAGTTTATTGGGGTAACATTGGTTAATACAATTATATAACATTATATACAATATTCTTTACTATTTTTTTCATTACTATTTACCTATATTCGGTGTTGAACATTTCTTGTTGCTTAGTAAGGGTAACTTGAAATCCTAAGGTTTCATTTGTCAATATAATTCCT